GGGAACTTGCACAATCGGTGGCTGACTAAATACTTTTTTGCCCCACTGTAAGTAGTCATCAGTGATGCTATCAGAACATATGATTTAAACTCTTTTTAAAAACTCCTGAGTTTTAGGGTTACAGTTAGGGCTGGGGCTGTTACTGATGCCAATGCAGACCTCACAAGTTTAAAAAGCTATATTTCGATTGGTATTAGGACATCTGCCAGGATAAAATCTTGATGTGTTGTATTTATTTACTTTTCAAATCTGTGGTGATTATTGACACAAATTGCCATCCATTACCCAGAGATCACTCTTCTTCCATTTATCTTTTACATTTTCTGATAATACATCCGTGCCTCTCCTCCCATTAAAACATTAGCTGGGAGAGATCTCCTGAATGTCAGTATTCTGTGATATCCGGTGGAGACAACGTAAGAGCGTAAAAGCACAGATACAGACAGATAAATACAGCAATTACAGCACATAAAAGACATCATACAAACAATAAGTGGATTACGCTTCACATGAATCCAAACAGGAAGCCAAAGTCAAAGAAAAAAAGTCCATATTCTTTGTTATGTTGAGTTACATGCTTGATAAAGGTCTAACCCAGGGGTCGGCAAGTGTATTTTATTTATGTTAGTTCTTTTTAACTTGTACTTCTAAATTGGAAGATTATTGTGATTTTGAAATATAAAAATAAAATTATATTCTATTATTTTTTCATCGCTCAAAATAAGCGTCACACTCGCGGAAGCCGGTGTACCCGCCGAAACGCCTGCATTTATCGAGACTTTCAACCCCAGGTAGGCCAGTTATGGATCTTCGGATCTACATTATGTCAGCAGCTCCACCGTGAACTATGTTACAAACAAACAGCGCTCACGCCTCACAGACGACAGCTTACAGTCCTGCGTAAACTGACTTCGCATATCCCTGATCTGCAGAGGCTGTGCGCAGAGGTTCAGGAGCAGAAGTCTTATTGTAAACATATCACGGCAGACCCGACGATGTTTGCATGAACACGCTTTTCAGCATCTCTATATTAACCACTTTTCACACACTGTTGCTGTACGCACACAGCCGGCTGTAGCTTTACAGCTCACAGCCCGACACACACCAACGCAACAGCATAGATAGCACAGACGTTGAGGCGTGATTGCGGGTTCCGCTCAGGTGCGTCGCCTCCCCAGCAGCGGCGCTGCAGACCACGCCCCGCCACACACATTAACCAGGTAAAATACATATTTAGGCAGAATTTTGCAAATATCTATTTTTCAGTTTTTAGCTGCATAGTGCTTTTTTCCAGTTAGTTTTTAAAAGTCGGGTCAAGGCTCCAAAAGCACAAAGGTGATATAAGGGCGGCTCACAACAGTTTTTGTTTGCTGGGTCCTTTTAGTTCAGCATCTTTCCTTTTGTTATATTTCTTTAAGAGTTCAAAATGTGTTAATTACATAAATAAAATTTTCTCTGTAGCACTTCATGGATGTCATAAGCAACACACCTTAGTTGTTCACACAAAGCATAAAAGTAAAAAACAATATATATAGTGTTATCTTCATTTTAGATGTCAGAAAGTATTTGCGGCTCAGTGTTTTCTTTTGCGTGGAAACCCCTGGTCTAACCATAAGGTAAATTCATGTACCTGCTTTGTGTACCAGCGCAAGCGTTAGCTAACAGGCTTAGCTTAGCGACCATAGCCTATCAGTAACATAGGACAACGTTAACAGTTCAGATCATAGGGAACTTTATTAGTTTCATTTTTGAACTTGCTAGCAATTCTGTGGTTGTGTTACAGGTTCCCACAAACCTGCCCCAGTGATTACATATAGTTTTACCTTCGGGCACTATCAAAACAACTTTGTTCTAGAATTGCTTTTGTTTTTAAAAGACATACTTTCCAAAAACACATGTAGTAAATGTGCTAAAGGTAGAAGCCATACAGCAGCTCTCTTGTGTCATCAGCAGCTTCTTGCTTGCACTGGTGCATTCTTTCAGAGTCATTGTGGTAACATTTATTAAAATATATCTTCATATCTAATGGTTTCCTGTCAGAGTCAAATCTTTATCTTTGACTCTCCAGCACCTGTAGCTACACTTTATCTCAAACACATGGAGACGTGATATAGAATCAGCTGGATTCATGCATGTTTTACTTTGCCTCCCTCCCTTTATTCCCAACCAGTCATGACAGATGCCTGCTGCTCTTTGACCCTGGTTCTGCTGAAGGTTTCTTCCAGTTAAAATGGAGTTTTTCCTTTCCACTTTAACCAAGTGCTTGCTCAAAGGGGGTCGTCTGATTGTTAGGGTTGCTTCTGTATTACTGTAGGGTCTTTACCTTGTGGTAAAAAACCCACCTTGACATAACTGCTGTTATGATTTGGTAATATATAAATAAAACTGGATTGAATATAAACGTCATGTATATTCACTCAGAGTCTTATGACATCAAAAAAGATCCCATTACAAAAACCCTGTTGGTGACAAAGGTCGGGAATGACCATGTCTCATTTTTTTCCTTTTTTTTGCATTTCCAAATAACAACAGTGGAAGCTCATTTTCCTCCTCAGTCACCTGGTCTATGAGCAGAGCTACTATGGCAGCGGTAAGTTCCAATTTGGGAATAATCACAGGTTTGAGTTTATTAATTGCTTAACTCTCTTGATCTTTGTGTCCCATCCAAGCCTCATTCATGTTAGTTTTTGTGGGATTAGCTTTAATGTGGATGACAATGAATAATAAATGGAGCTCACATCAAAAGTGAACTCTCCTGGTGAGAGTTTTGTCTCTTAAATTGAATTTAAATTGAAACAGGTTTGTTTCAGTATATCATTGTATGGCTGGAGATCTTTCAACAGGTCTGGCATCCCCATTAAAGTCCAGATACTTGTTCTTCTTTATTATCGTCTCTTTAGGTACTGAAAGGTTAATGGTTCTGCTTTTACTGAGCAAGGTGTTTAACTTGAAATCATTGTTACAACACAGTGTTAATTGTGTGCAAGTTTCAGTTCCTCCCCTTCATCCACTACTTATTTAGGAAGATGCCCAGTTAAAAATGATTTAATGCTTTTCTATTTATTCAATCCACACTGTCTTGTGCACATTGCAGGGAAAAGGTCTGCACACTATAAACAGGAGAGGATATGACACCAGAGCTGCAGCATCTTCTACTTTTCTAACACACAGTTGTGATCGCCACAAGAATCTGAGAAGAATCTGGGTGAGTTGTATGGCTTTGCAATATACTTCAGTCACTATCTTGGGGCAGTAGGTGCAGTGGGTCAGAATGTTATTGGGGAAGAAAGTCGACCCAATATTGCCCCAGTGTGTCACGAGTGTGAACAGGTGAATGTGACTTGTAGTTTAAGACATTTTCAAACCAAAAAGTCTAGAAAAAAAAGTAAAAGAATTTAAATGCACTACATTTAATTCAATAACTGCTGTTCTGCAGAAACACTTTAATTTTAAAGCTTTGTTTAGCACTTTGTTTTCTCTCAGTTGTTTTCCTCTTTCATTTCATGGAGGGTTTGGAATATCATGCAAATCTTTATGTCCCTAAATAGCCAGTCCTGCTGTTACAGTTTCCAGCTCAAGTTGTTACTTCTTAGCATTTAGAACAGCTTTTTCAGAACGTTTTGGTGTAAGCCTGGCAGCTTGTGACAGTTATTCAACCTTTGACTTGTTTTGCAGTAGTAATGCAAGACCAGGAAGATTGTGATGGCCTCAGTGAACACAGTGAATCAACACTCTTTATATGTGAAATACAGCTTTGAGGTGTAACATTCTCTCTAATGTGTTTACAAAGGAAACTCAACAATTCATTTAGACACCTTATCCATAAATTCTCGCAGCGCTGTCACTGCGGGGTTTGACTACAGCTTGACGAGATGAAGTCCCACGTCTTTCTTGGAAATAAAGTTAAAAGGGATTTTTTTTGCATAATTTGCAAACAACACAGATTTTTGATTAAAACAACAAACTTTGCACTTCTTCATGCTTTCAGTCTCTGCACAATTCAATTTGTCTATTCTATTTGTCTAACTATATTTGTGCACACTGCATTGAGATAAAAGTACATAAAAAAATCATCATTCCAAAAACATAACCTCCTTTGTGGAGGAGGTAATATTATGAGTAGGGCTTCATTTCTCAAATGCAAATCAATTTCAAGCTTCCTCCCTGGAGTTTAATTATGAAAGCGTAATGCGTTAGTCCAGCACAAACAACAAAGTCCCGCAGGTGCCAGGACTGACTCACATCCAGACTCCCGTCCCCACTAAACGAGCCCTAACTGCAGGCACTTCCAGTAACAACCAGGCTGTTACTGCTCAGTTCCTGTTTTTACCAATAAGCGATTTCCAAGCTGTATAACTCAGAGCCTCTACATCAAAACCCTGATTTACTTTACTTTCCCTGGGATAATTTGGCTGATCTTGTTATTGTGACTCAGTACCTTTTGCTGTTTCTTTCCAGACGCTGGTTCTCCTTTGAGGATGCTGGCATCCATGGCCTCAATATCCTTTACCACCAAGCCAAACAGCTTGTCACAGAAACTAAACACTAGCTGAAAGACAGGAAAGCAGATGATGGTACATCAAAAGTCAAATGTTATGCCTCTGAATATCGATATGTGTGTGAGTCTGACACTTTGAGGCATGGAAATAAAAACCTGCTGGGTGACAGAGAAGGCCTGGTTGTTGAACTGCTGGATGAACTCGGCGGCCATCTTGTCTGAGTCGTAGGGAGAGGAGTCAGTACTCTTCTTCTGCAAGAAGTCGATTTCGATTGTCATGGCGCCAATGCACTGCTTGGACTTGTCAAAATTGTAGTTGGCCACTGATTGGACAAACAAGGCTACAATTACTATCATATTTAGGTTAATGAGTCAAAATCTGCTTTGGATTTTTATAACAAACCCTAAAAAACAATGAATCTAAAAGTAAAAGCTGCCGCTGGTCACAGCAGATGTATGTAACACACGAGGATATAAATGAACAACTAATAATAAACCATTACAGAAGAGATTCTAATAGATTTTTTTAAATAGGAACAATTTGCAGTATTTGACATTATTAATAGTTTGCAAAGCCCCATCCTAAAGGTAAACTGTCCAATTTTAACTGTAGCAATTAAGCTACATGCTTAGGCATTAAAGCCCAAGTGGCCTGCACAAGAAATGAAAGCAAAGATTTAAAAATGTATTTGTCTTATAATTCTCAAATATGGGAAAAAAGCACAAGAAGTTAACCTACCATAGAACCAAGTCCGCCAGAGCTTATATTATATTTTTACATGCTGTGGAGCCATTTTTGGGAGCATTTCAAGTTGCTATACATCAATACAACCATTATAGCCCAGATTTTAATAATATGTATTCATTAAGTGCATAGTAATTACATAAATTGCAAAAAAGTGCAATAAACTACAAAAAAATTGAAAATCGTTTTTGTTTTTTTAACATACATTTCTAGTTAGAGAAATTTAAGAGGCTTATCCCTCAAAACTGTAAATACAAAAAAGTTGCACAAAATAGTTTCCCACCACAGGAAATTTATTTTGAGTGTCTTCATAGTTTTATTTTTGAAATACACCAATTTTTATATACTGCAGGAAAAACGAAAATAAATATTATACTGCAAATTTGCAAAAAAGCAGCATATGCATCAAAATAAACTATTTCCAGCAGTGCAATATGAGTCGTAAGCATCCCAGAAACTACACAGGAAGTCATGAAGTCAAAGATAACTTTTAAAAAGACGAGTATAGGCCCTGAGGCCCTGATAGTAAAAAAGACTACATTTCCGCGAAAATGACGTCACTTCCGGTTTCGGGCAGGTAATGGCGGAAATGCAAAAGTTCGCGCTGACGTCTATTCCAACGTAGGAAGTGTTATGACCAGCTGATTGGATCGGTAAAGCGTGTTTCTGGAATATTATGTTTTTGTTCCTGCAAGCGCTTTTTATGCAGTTTTTGCAAAGCTTTATGTGGAAGGAAACTGTGACCTAGGACAAGCTGATGGCATAAGATGCAAGTACAACTCCTCCGGTTTCATATGCAAAAAAATTTTTTGCGCTAGCTTACGTGGTTGCAGAGCTACCGGGATTTAAAAATAGTTACGCAAAACAGAGCGTGCCGCTCCGATCGGCTGTAAATGGTTAATGAAACGTTTTCATTTATTTTTTCAACATGTGTCACAGTTCTTAACTGTTTAGCTGCAGTGATCTTTAACAAGCTAACAGGCCAATGCTACTATATAACTGCCTCAGTGATTTCTAGAACTACATAATAATAATAATAATAAATGCAAGAATATCTGTAACAATCTAATAGGACAACTGCTATTATGCTAACATTATTAGCTCTGGGAGCTCAAGGAGCTTTTAAAAAAAGGACGTTTAACATCACATGCTTCTAATTTCAGCATAAAATACAGCTTAAGGAACTGCAGTGCAGACACCACCCTGTCCTGCACTTTATTGTGTGCCTGAGATTACTTACATTACCCGAGAAAAGTCTGCAAAACCAACTTAGTTCATTTGAAAATGCAATATGTAATCTTAGTGCCTAACATATTATATTTGAATAAAATGGAGTTTTACATTAATGACTTGCTGCCTGTTTGTCTTGAAAAGTCCGTATTTATCACAGAAAGTAAACTGTCTTAATTTACGAGTGCATCTATATGCAGCAGCTGAAAGCTTGACAACAGTAACTACAGAGGTTTTGAGTTGGTATTCTTAAACATCAAAATCAGCAATCAGAGAAGCGCATTTCATACCTTCCACCTCCTGACCTATGGAGAGACCAGCCCATTTCCTCTACAGGAGAGAAAAAACAAAGAAGAAAAGCCTGAGCATGTGGCTAACGCGTACTTAACAAGTCTGCGAGTTTTTGCATGTGTGTACCTGTGGCAGGCTGAAGGCGATGCTTCCTGCAGCCACAGTGTGGTGGGTCTTGACTGTAAACACATACTTGTGGTTGGGTGTGGTCTTCACACTCACATGTCTGTGGAGAGAGATTGGATTACAATTTTTATCTTACATTACATGTTTATAGTTATTGCTCAAGTTGAAGCTGAAGGTGTCTTTAAGGTTATTTAGATTTTTTCAGATAGCAACTCTGAGATAGCAAAAGAATGGAGCCCATGGCCTCCAAGCCTGGAGGATCCCAGCTCTGCCACCTCACATGAACTTGTTAACAGTCAGACATTAAACGGTGCTGTTAGGACTGTGGGCCGGTTGGAGCTTCTCTTTCTCTTGCAGCAGGTAGAACTGTGGGCAGAGCTGTATTTCCAGTGCTTGCTCCCGCACTCCTGTTTGTCATTCTCCTTTATCCCTACCGGATATTTAAGTAGTGGCTGTTGCAGCAGTTCTCTACAAGATCATTGTCTCCATTACAGGGATAACTTGGCCAACGTCAGTGTGACTTAATCCTTTTTATTCCCAGTTGATCTTCTTAATGGTTCTTGAACTTCTCACCTTCAAGTGAATTCTTTCTTCACCTGCCCTCTGGAAAAACTGAGCCACTGCAGGATCATACCTGTCTGCCCACTCTCCACCGCACTCCTTCAAACCTCAGCCTGCTCACCTTCAGTCAACCATCTCCTGTGCCCCTGGTGCTCACTTATACAAGCAAGCCTCTATTACGATGACTATTGGCTGACACATTGCATCCCTTTACTCCGTCTATCGCTAAGAGCAATCTGCCCTCTCAGTCTAAACCAGCCAAGCGCTTTTCTCTCGTGCATTGTAAATAAATAAAGGTTGCAGATGCTGAAATATGTAATTATTGTACAGTGGGATGCAAAAGTTTGGGCAGCCTTGTTCATAGTCATTATTTTCCTGTATAAATCGTTGGTTGTTACAATAAAAAATGTCAGTTAAATATATCATATAGGAGACACACACAGTGATATTTGAGAAGTGAAATGAAGTTCATTGGATTTACAGAAAGTGTGCAATAATTGTTTAAACAAAATCAGGCAGCTGCATAATTTTGGGCACTGTTGTCATTTTATTGATTCCAAACCCTTTAGGACTGATTATTGGAACTCAAATTGGCTTGGTAACCTCAGTGACCCCTGACCTACATATACAGGTGAATCCAGTAATGAGAAAGAGTATTTAAGGGAGTCAGTTGTAAGTTTCCCTCCGCTTTTAATTTTCTCTGAAGAGTGGCAACATGGGGGTCTCAAAACAACTCTCAGATGACCTGAAGACAAAGATTATTCACCATCATGGTTTAGGGGAAGGATATAGAAAGCCGTCTGTTTCCACAGTGAGGAACATATTGAGGAAAATGATAGACCACAAGCTCAGTTCAAGTTAAGGCTGGAAGTGGCAGACCAAGAAAAATCTTGGATAGACAGAAGCGACGAATGGTGAGAACAGTCAGAGTCAACCCACAGACCAGCACCAAAGACCTACAACATCATCTTGCAGCAGATGGAGTCGCTGTGCATCGTTCAACCATTCGGTGCACTTTACACAAGGAGATGCTGCATGTGAGAGTGATGCAGAGGAAGCCTTTTCTCCGCCCACAGCACAAACAGGGCTGCTTGAGGTTTGCTAAAGCACATTTGGACAAACCAGCTTCATTCTGGAATAAGGTGCTGTGGACTGATGAAATGAAAAGTTATTTGGGCATAACAAGGGGTGTTATGCATGGAGGAAAAAGAAAAACACTTGCTACCTACAGTAAAATATGGTGCTGGTTCCATCATGCTGTGGGGCTGTGTGGCCAGTGCAGGGACTGGGAATCTTGTCAAAGTTGAGGGACACATGGATTCCACTCAGTATCAGCAGATTCTGGAGACCAATGTCCAGGAATTAGTGACAAAGCTGAAACTGTGCCGGGGCTGGATCTTTCAACAAGACAACGACCTGAAACACTGCTCAAAATCCACTAAGGCTTTCATGCAGAGGAACAAGTACAACGTTCTGGAATGGCCATCTCAGCCCAGACCTGAATATTATTGAACATCTGTTGTGTGAGTTAAAGAGAGCTGTCCATGCTCGGAAGCCATCAAACCTGAATGAACTAGAGATGTTTTGTAAAGAGGAATGGTCCAAAATACCTTCAACCACAATCCAGACTCTCATTGGAACCTACAGGAAGCGTTTAGAGGCTGGAATTTCTGCAAAAGGCGGATCTACTAAATATTGATTTCATTTCTTTTTATGTGGTGCCCAAATTTATGCACCTGTCCGATTTTGTTTAAACAATTATTGCACACTTTCTGTAAATCCAATAAACTTCATTTCACTTCTTAAATATCACTGTGTGTGTCTCCTATATGATATATTTTATATTAGGGCAGTTGTGGCTCAAGAGTTGGGAGTTTGCCTTGTAATCGGAAGGTTGCCGGTTCGAGCCCCAGCTTAGACGGTCTCGGTCGTTGTGTCCTTTGGCAAGACTCTTCACCCGTTGCCTACTGGTGGTGGTCAGAGGGCAGCCTCACCTCTGTCAGTGCGCCCCAGGGTGGCTGTGGCTACAATGTAGCTGCCATCACCAGTGTGTGTGTAAATGGGTGGACGACTGGATATGTAAAGCGCTATATAAATACAGGCCATTTAACATATTTAACTGACATTTTATTGTAACAACCAACGATTTATACAGGAAAATAATGACTATGAACAAGGCTGCCCAAACTTTTGCATCCCACTATATATGTCAAAAAGCATAGTATGATTCACTGGTATCTGTATGTGGTTTGTGATTTTTTTTTCTTTAATTTTCTTTTTTTAAATTTATTGCTTCTGCTGAACTGATCTGCTGTCTCTCACTTTAAAATGCCAAATGCAGCAAGAATCACATGACAGGCGAAGAGTCGAAATGCTTATCAAGAAGTGCAAAATGATGCAAACACACACAAAAAATGAATATAAGGAGGACTGTGAAGAATGCCTCAATGCCACCCAACAAGACTGAGGTGAGTGCGACAATGAGAGACAAAATTACGCACGAAACAACGCAGCTGTATCTGCTGTGTTTGACACTCGACGTTCCCACTGTTGTGGATTTCACTGGCAATAATTACAGACCCCAAAATACAAAGAAAACCCTCCCCTAGTTTCATTACGTGGTCAACAGTCATTGACAGAGAAGAACTTGGACCATAAATCAGGGAGCATCACCAGCTCCAGCGCCCTGGCCTTTACCTTCCATGTTCTCACACTTTTAGGTATCTCTTGATAGAGCAGCCTTATTGGTTCACCACACACAACCAACAAATGGGAAGAGTCTTTCATGTACTACAGATTCTTCATTGTTTTACTTATGAAGCCCTGCGACAGACTGGTGACCTGTCCAGGGTGTAGCCTGCCTCTCGCCCTAAGACAACTGGGATAGGCTCCGGCCCCCAGCGACCCTGAAAAAGGATAGGGGGAAGCGAATGGATGGATGGATGGACTGAGGATCACATCAGATGTTACCCTTTTTAAAAGCAACACAATGAACTGTGTATTAGATGTGTAGATTTTAACCTTCTGAGTTCTGAGTCATCACAGGGTTAGGGTTAGAATTCACACCTATGATAACCTCAGAAGCTCCAGGATAGCCCCAAAGTGAAGACCTGTACAGGATGTGACCCACCTCTTGCCCCATGGCAGACAACAGAATCTTCAGTTTGACCTGAGTGCAGATTTTCATCAGATTCCTGCAGCTTTACTTATCATTGTTGCATAATAAAGTGAAATGATAATCATCCACTGCAAGTCACTTGCTGTCGTCTCCAGGATGAATAATGGGTGATAAAGTGGGCGGTCAGGTGGGTATTTGGAAAACTGATTGGAGAGATGCCCGGGTGTGTGCTCAGATTGATAAATGCGACGGTGATTAGGTAATAGGAAGTACTCACTGTCCTGACTGCAGATCCTTCTCACTCACCACGGCACAGTTAGTCAGCGACAGCTCGTCTGTCGGGCATCGTGCCGCTTGCATGGTCTGCAGAGAGAAAGACAGCAGAGGAAGGACAGAGATGCAAAGAGCCATAATTGTTTGAGAGATACTGGGAATGACCACACACATTTTATTCCAGTACACTTTTTAAAATTCTTTTAACTTGGGATTGTTATAAGAATTTCCTCCTAGCGGGCACTGAGCCTGTGAAATGTCATGTAAGGAGGAAAAATAAACACAATGTATTATAAACTGAATTTTTGAAATATAGGACACTGCCGTGAGATGTTTCTATTCAGTTGTAACATTACTGACATGATAGCTCAAGTAGATGCATTCCACCTGTTAGAAACAAGGTGGTCCAACCTGAGAAACCCACTATTAGATACACAAACAAACTTTATTTGTCACGTACACAATCATACAGAGTACAACATGTAGTGAAATGCTTGTGTCCAAGCTGAAGACCTAGCTGCGCCATTCCAGGGCTTGGTTTTTTTAGCATGGGGGATCTAGCCAGGACCCTTACTGGATACCAGGTGGGAATTGAACATGCGATTACCACTCCAAAAGGTGTGTAGTCTTACCACTACACTATCCAGCTGCTGAGACACCGTGCTAATACCAGGTCGGACACCCCCTTTGCCTTCAGAACTACCTTAATTCTTCATGGCACAAATTCAAACATCCCTCAGAGATTTCGGTGCAGTAAACTCATTGACATGTTCAAAAACAACATTCTCAGATGATTTGAGCTTTTTGACGTGGGACATTATCCTGCTGGAAGACGATGGGTCCACTCTTTTCATAAAGGGGTGGACGTGGTCAGCAACAATACTCGGGTAGACTGTAGTGTTTAACTGATGCTTATTTGGTCCTAAGGGGCCCAAAGCCCCCACATCTTTACAGCCTGAACTGTTGGTGCAAACCAGGATGGATGGATCCTTGTATTCACATGTTTACATGTTTCTGAATTCCTCATCTGAACATAACAGCAGAAATCGAGACTCATCAGATCATTTTCTATTGTCCAGTTGTGAGCCTGTGTGAACCGCAGCTTCATTTTCATCTTCTTGGCTGACGGGAGTGAGGAGGAGACAGAGTATAGGGAACTGTTGGACCACACTGTGCAGTGGGGTGGTACCTCCTCCAAAATGTGGCAGAGACAAAGGAAATGGTGATAACTTTTATGACAAAGTGAACACATTTCCATTCTGGGAGAAGACGTAGCATTAATGGAGAGCTACAGATACATGAGCATTCACCTCAACAAATGACCATCTTCGTAGGAAGAGATAGCTGGTGTTGTCTTAAGTTGCAATGCATCTGACTTCTCACATTTCACCACAGACATCATTTAAATGTCACAGCCTACCTGAGTGTTGTTGCTGACCGTGTCAATTTCTTTGTGACTTCAGTATACCCATTTTCTGATGGATGCTTCCAGCTGGACAACACACCTTCCCACAAAGCTCCAATCATCTCAAACTAGTTCTCACTCAAACAGTGAATTCGAGCCTCTGCAGTTATGAAATCCCAATATTCTGTAGAACACCTTCAGGATGTGGAAGAATGAGAAATTTTGATTTGCAACCAACAAATGAGCACACACTTTTCTTTTTCTCATTTTTCCTCACAATATTCATGACAGCCAGTCTCATCATCGTCTAAGGGTGTCCTGCTGCTTTACATTCAGTCCATGTCAAATCTCAACCAACCTCCCAACTCAACAGAGGAATTTTCTGAGTATGAATCCCTTCTTTCAGTTCATCCACTTTTCCACTGACACAGCAGCGAACACACTGACACACTCTCATTTGAACACAAATTGAAATCCTTTGCAGAACAACCACGTCTGCCACACTGAACAAAAGTAGGCAGATAGAGAAATTCCATTGCACATTGCTGCAGCATGACCACATGCAGTGGTAGCCATGGTTACTGCATTAAGTGACGACGGAGAGCCTCTGGTGATAAATGAGTATTGCTTTTCTGTAGGGTGGGGTTTTAATAATCGATTCATCGATTAAAATCGATTCTGGCTTGGATAACGTGATATCGATTCATTAAAATCCTGAATCGATTTTTTTATATATAAATGTATTTTGCCCAAAATTCCAGAATCTCAGGTGAAACCTCACAAAATTTCAACAACCACCAAACATTTAAAACAGTAAATGAGAGCAGCAACAGGCTTCTGCACAAAGACGTAAACACAAAGCTCGACCCGTCGACGGATCAGAATCAGTGAGATGGCGCCTTTCTCACCCGACGGCATGGACACGGTCGGGGCTGAAAGCCGACAGCTCGCTGATTCTGATGTTTCGGCGGGTCGAGCTTTGTGTTTACGCCCTTTTTGCGCTGATTCTAAAGCTGTTAGTTTGATCTCTCTCCAAACAATATTGACCAACCAGCATTTCATGCACAGCTCTCTCTCTCTCTCTGTATTTCAAGAACAGTTTCCCGTCTATCCCCGAAATCTGTTTTCTGCTTTATTCGCTTGCTTGTTACGCACAAGTCTACCATTATTTACAAGCTGTCGGCCAATGGTTTTTTCCTACTTTTACTTACTTCCGAAAAGAAAACCTAATTTCTGCCGTTCAACAGGCTTCTGAACAAATTTAAACTTTTTAAAATTATACAAAATGCAAAACGCTGTGTCTCTAAAAAAAACGCCGGAAACTCAAAAGTAATGTTCATAAGTTGATTAATGGTTTTCTTTCGTTTTTGATCTACTGCAGAATATTTTTATAAAATCCCAGGCAGGAAAATCACCTTCATGTTTTTCTGTGTTTTATCCTCAGCTGCTTTGACACAAAGGCCTCTGCTGTGATGCTCACACCTTTGATAAAGTCTGGAAAGTGTCAGCTTCCTTTTTATAGATACAAAAATATGTAAATGTACTGATCTGAATTATAATATTTCTGACTGTCTGAGGCAAAATTTCCCAGATTCAAATCGAATTGAATCAAATTGAATTGAATCAAATTGAATTGAATCGATTCAGGACCTTGTGAATCGAATCGATTCTAGAAGTCAGTGACGATACCCAGCCCTACTTTTCTGCTATGTGAATCCCTCGGCGGGAGCACAGGCTACAGATCTGCGCTCACTGTGAACACATGCTTTTTGTTTTTACTGAAGCTCTTCATTCTTTCACTGGCAAATAAATCACATTTATGCACACGGGTACACTGTACTGCCAAACATCTTAAACTCTGGCCACGATTTCAGTCGAATGATTGGTTAACAGCATTTTCCTAAAGGGAAAAGTAGAATTAATAATTTACTGTCATAGGAGCATAAATAGTGTCCTCTGGTTACAGGCAGATATGGGCAGTAACGCGTTACAAATAACACTTTACTGTGATCCAATTACTTTTTTCAAGTAATGAGTAAAGCAAGTAAGTAATTTGATTACATTACTTTCTCGTAACCACACTGCATTACTAAACCGTGATTTTGTTTGTGAGAGTGTCTCATGACAATGACGTACGAGTGTGCGATGTCCGTGGCAGCAACAGACGTGTGCAGATCAACAATGTATCAACATTACTTTGAGTTGGATTCTGTAAAAAGTGACAGAAACATCAGCGTCTGCTTTACACTCTGTGTGGAAAGAAAACTTCTTTCTACAGCGAAAAATGAAACTTCAAAACTGAGCAAGCACCGCGCTGCCACAGGAAGGTGAAATTCACAGAGAAACCCCCGCTGTGATGACCGCTGCTGCACCGGGCAAACCTCCACCAGCCCCACTCCTGCTAAACAGGTGAAAATAGATTTAAAGTGACAGGACTCAGAGCTGCTGAATCTTTAATTTTATTTATTTTATTATTTATTTATTTTTATTTATTTATTTTATGTTTTACTTGCATCTATTTCAAAGAGGGAGTGTAAACACAAAAACATTATTTTATTTTATATGCTGGAATATGCACAAAATAGGTTTAAATGTTAAACAAATTTCTTCAAGTCAAAGACAACTGCATATAATTTCATTTTTGCTTGATGCAATGTGCATAAAGTTAAAAGATTAAAACTAATAAAACATAAAGAAAGACTTTTTCATTTGATTACATTTTATATGATGCAGAGAAAATAAAATTGGGCTGAAAGGTCTATTGTTTTCTATGTATTCAGGTTGTATATCATGTTTTTTAAAGTAACTAAATAATTAAGTAACTCATTTTGAAAATAAGTAATCAGTAAAGTATAACTTTCTTGGAGAAGTAATCAGTAATTAGTAACTAATTGCTATTTTTGAGTAACTTGACCAACACTGGTTACAGGTCAGCTTAATAATTTGCTTAATACATCTGGTTTAAAAATGTTAAAACATGATGGCGAAAATGTGAAATTTGAGACTTGACCAATCAAAGACTGAGGCCACAGTGCCGATAGCTGTCTATGAGTACACCAGGACTTTGGTCTCAGTGGATGGACATAAGAGTAGTGCTACACCCCAGTTCTGAATTGTACAGAAGAAGATTAGGAC